TGAGACAGGATCTCACTATGTAGTTGAGACTGACCTGGAACTCACTGTGTAGCCCAGGCTGGTCTCAAACTCACAGCAATCCTCCTGCCTCAGCCTCCTGAGTTCTGGGATTACAGGTGTGCACCACCATGCCCAGCTTATATTTTAATTTTATATATGTAAAAGGTGATATATAATAAAAATTCTCAGTCTAAAAATTATTTCAGCAAATAAAAGTAAAAAGGAATAATAAAACATGTATTTTCTTTATTGCTAGTATATGTGATTATGTGTCCAATATAATTCAGTAAATGAGTAGTAGTTTAAATGCAATGAGATTGTGCAAATATGTTAGATAAAATATGAGTGAATATATAACAGGTTAAACTATATGGCCAAAAGCTATAGGTGGTGCTGTTGCTTCTCATGTAATTTTATTCCTCTTTTAATCTAAGGTGTTTCTGTAATTCTTCCTGTGAGTCATATTTTGTTCCCTTTTCATCATCTGCCTGGGACCTTTTGACTAGATGGGAATTGGCAGTAGATAGGCTTGCATATATCTTAATTTGAATTTTCTTTCAGAATTCGCTCTTTACTATGTGTGAATCAGGCAGATAACAGTGTTTATGACAGACAGACTGTGAGATACAGACAGTAAGATAGAGAAAGACCTTATGGGAATTGTAGCAGAAATCCCCTTTTCTACTCCTCATCTGTCTGAGTTAAATGCTAGAAGGGATGTGACGTCAGATCTCCCATTTTCCCAGGATTGGCTCCTTCCTTAGGCAGGAATTCTTCATGGAAATTTGGGGCATGTTATACTACCATGGTAAGAAATTTTACATTTCTAATTAGGATACACATATAAACAAATACTATTGAAAAATAAATGTCACAAAACAGAACATGTCAATTAGTTCACAAGTGCTGGTCATAACTTAAGTGGATTTTATGGTGCGTTTCAACCCCCATTTGAAAGGTACTGTATGTGTATATATGTGTTTTTGTTCTCAGAGTTCCGTGAGTTAGTTGACTAGTCCTTGTGCTTTAGTGTCGTAGGAATTCAGTATGAAACTTTTCTTTTATAGGCTGGAGCATTGGATTTGCTGAAAGAGCTTAAGAATATTCCCATGACTCTGGAATTATTACAGGTATGTGCTTATATGTATTAGTTTTATTTACTTATTTTTTCTGGTACCAGGGATGGAACTCAGGACCTTGTACACTTGCCAGGCAGGTGTGGCACCACTGAGCTACGTCCTTGGCCCTATGTATTCATTTTTTTATTTTTATTTTTATTTACTTATTTATTTTTTTGGTACCAGGGATCGAACTCAGGTCCTTGTGTTTGCGAGGCAGATGGCTGTGCCACTGAGCTAAATCCCTGGCCCCTTTATTAGTTTGTGAATTGGTAATTGTTGTAAAATACTAAAACATCTTTAGTACTGGTATGAGGATTTAGTACTGTCCTTTATGGTTAACTTCTTTTTTGGTACTGGAGATTGAACTCAGGCCCTTGCGGCAGAACCACTGAGCCAAATCCCCAGCCTGACTTCTTTGTTTTTTTTAAGATATCAGTATAAATTAATAATCTTCTAAGTTGCCATTGTAAGAATTTGTTATCTTTTTCAAGGAGAATAAAACTTGAATTTAGGGTTGGCAGTGGCAGTGAAATCATATGAGAAGATTTTGAACGTGTGGCCCTGATTTGGTCTCCCAGCATTTCACTTTCTTGGTCTGTCTTTGGTGACTGCTGCGAGCCTGAATCTAGCTTCTGGGTAAAGATGAGAGAATATCATTCTCCTTTTTTAATTACTAGCCAAGCATGTATACAATGGGACGCCTAGTAGACGTTATATAGATTTAGTATTGAAGTCTCTTTTTTGTTCCATCAAGATTGAAACATTAAAGCATGGTGTGGTGGCCCATACCTGTAGTAATTCTAGCACTGTGAAAGGCCAAGACAGGAGAATTGCAAGTTCAAACTCAGTCTGGACAATTTATTGATGTAGATATGTTTCTAAAATAAAAATAAAATGGGGCTGAGGATGTAGCTCAGTGCACCGGCTCATTGTAGGTTCAGTTCTTAGTACCACAATACATCCATACATGTATATATACATACAGCTTTATTAAAAATCAAAATGTTAAAGACAAAAGTAAATACAGTCAATAACATGAATCTGTCTCTTTTTTATTAGAGATATCCTATTGATCCTTGAATGTCTTCCTTAATATTTCTGTTTGAGTCACATGAGTATGTGAACTTGTTTGGGGAAAAAAGAAGTGTTTATTTTCACTAATATCTAACTGAAATCAAACATTTCTTTTAATCATCATTGTGGTACACTACAGTTGCATTAACAGTATTTATGGCCATAACCAAAAGAAATCAGAAATATTTTAACCTTAGTTAACTGCAGTTACAGATGTATTAAAATCAATTTTTGCTTATCATAATGGTGCTCTTATACCTTATGTTAGATCTTATTTAATATTTTGATCAGGAAACAGGTACATTACTGTATTACATTTATTTTATTTCATTTTATTTTACTTTTTTGTACCAGGAATCGAACTCAGTACCTTGCGCTTGTGAAGCAGGTAGTGGAACCACTGAGCTAAATCCCCAGCCCCATTTAAAAAAAATTTTTTTTTTGGTATCTTGGATCAAACTTGGACCCTTACCCTTGCAAGGCAGGTGGCGAAACCACTGAGCCAAATCTCTGGCCTCTAAAATATTTTATAATTAGATTTATATAGTTGGTTTCCTTTAATCCACCTATATGTCTTAGTTAACACATTTGAAGAGAAGGAAGTCCATAAACATCACCATACTGCTAAAGAGAGTCATTCATGGTGAGAAAGAAAAGAAAAAAGTAGGTTAAGAACTCCTCAGGCTGGGGCTATGGCTCAGCAGCACGGCACCTGCCTGTCAAACACAAGGTCCTGAGTTTGATAGCCAGTATGGCGGGCGGGCAGCAGCCCACAAAAAAATGAAATCTTCCAGGGATTTAGCTCAGGTTCTGCTGCCTACCTTGCAAGTGCAGGGACCCAAGTTTAATCCCTGGTACCAAAAAGTAAATAAATAAAAAATAAAAGCAACAAACTCTTCTAAAGATAGATAGATTCAAGAAAGAGAAAGGAAGCAAGTTATGAATTACTTACTTCTCACTTTAGGTTTCTGACCAGGGATCAGTAACTTGTTTTGTAAATCAATTGTGATAATAAACTTTCTTTTGAGACAGTACTTTACTCACCTAGGTGTTAGTCCTCCACACAGGGATTATCCTGCCAGGGCTTTGTGGGTAAAACCACATCAAAAACAATTTAGTAATGTCAGCAGGTATTTAAGAGATATGAATAGCGTTATAGTGAGTGCAGAGGTTGGATACTGTGTATGTTTTAATAGCAAAACATTTATTGGTATATTTTAGGCATACATAATGATAACACTCACCATAGGGAATTTGCCCCTGTACATGATACATCCCACCTCTTTTTTCCCATTCCTCCCTCAAGCGCCATCCCCTCCCTATGTACAAAAGCTTTGTTTCCATTGTTTCCTTCGATTTTCTCCTTTTATTCTTGTCCTTCCTTCCTTCCTTTCTCCTTCCTTCCTCCCTTGTTCCCCTTCCCATTTGAACATTTTCTTCCCATTTTCCAGTATCTATTATGCATTTTAGTCCTTATTTCCACTTTTGATTTGTCATATTGGAGAAACAGTATGGTCTTTAAACGTATGTCTGATTTATTTCACTTAAGAGTATGCTCTCAAGGTCCATCTATTTAGCTGTAAATGTCTGAAGCTCATCATTTATGGCAGAATAGTACTTCATTGTATAAAAGAAAAACCATAGCTTTATCTACTCATTAGTTAACGGGCTTTTGGGCTATTTCCAAAATTTAGCTGTTACAGACTGTGCCACTATAAACATGGATGTACATATATCGCTGCAGTATGATGCTTTTAATTCTTCTGGGAAGATACCAAGGAGGAGAATAGCTGGGTCAAATGGAACCTCAGTGATAGTTTTTGAGAAATCCCTACACTGATTTCGACAGTGGTTGCACCAGTCTGCACACCCACCAACAGTGGAAAAGGGTTCCTTTTTCCCCACAGCCCTTCCAGCATTTGTTTTTGGTTGATTTCTTGACAGCAGCAATTCTTTCTAGAGTAAAATGGAATTTCAGCATTGTTTTAATGTATATCTCTAGAATGACCAGTGATGTTGAACATTTTTTCATGTATTTACCTTTTCCATTTCTTCATCTGAGAAGTGTCTGTTCATTTTTAGATGCCCATTTTTGGATTGGGTTGTTCAATTTGGGAGGTCTGATTTTTTTAAGTTCTTTATATATTCTAGATAGTAGATCTTTGATGAATAGCTGATAAAAATTTTTTCTCACACTGTAGGTTGTCTCTTGACTCTGTTGGTAGTTTCTCTTGCTGTGCAAAAGCTTTTTTTTGGTTCTGGGGATCGAACTCAGGTCCTTGCGCTTGCAAGGCAGGTGTGCCAAAGCTTTTTAATAAAATGAGGTCCCAGTTGTTTATTCTTTGTTGTATTTCCTGTGCTCTGGGTTTTGTTCATGAAATCTTTTCCTACTTCTATGTCCTTAAGTGTTCTGCCTGTTCTTTCAGCAGATTGATTGATTGATTGATTTAAAAATAAATTTTATCTCATCCCCTCAACCCCTTACTTCCAGCAGATTTAGTGTTTCTGTTTTAGTGTGTGGATCTTTGATTCATTTTGATTTTAGGTTGGTGCATGGTGAAAGATAGGAAGGGGAGTCTAGGGTTGCTAGTGGAGCTGCTCCTGCCTGGTAAGTAGGAATTTTGATCAGAATTGCATTAAATCTGAATAACAGTTTTGGAAGTATGGCCATTTTCACTAATTTGGTTCTTCCTATCAAGGAACAAGGGATGTCTTTCCATTTTCTGATAACCTCTTCAGTCTCCTGTTTTAGAGTACTGTAGTTTTCATTGTAGAGGTCTTTTACTAGATTGATTTCTAGGTATTTCAGTTGTTTGTAGAAGGTATTTCCCTGATTTCTCTGTCATTGAGTTTGTTATCTGTGTATAGGAAAACTGTTGATTTTTGAGTGATGACTTTGTATCCAGCTAAGCTACTGAATTTGTTTATTAAATATACAAGTCTTTTGGTGGAGTTTTGGTGCCCTTCTATGTAGAGTATCATGTCATCTGCAAATAATGGTAGTTTAACTTCTTCCTTTCCTATCCTTATTCATTTTATTTCTTTCTCTTGTCTAATTGCTCTGGCTGTTTCCAGAACTAATTTGAAAACTGGTGAGTGACACTGGATATCCTTGTTCCTGATTTTAGAGTGAAAGCTTTCAGTTTTTGTCCATTTCATATATTTTGACTATTGGTTTGTCATAGATGGCTTTTATCAGATTGAGATAAAGACCATCTATACCGGGCCAGGGATTTAGCTCAGTGGTTCTGCTGCCTGCCTCGTAAGTACAAAGACCTGAGTTCGATCCCCCGTACCCAAAAAACAAACAAACAAAAAACCACCATCTATACCAATTATCTGTAGGGTGTGTTTTGTTTTTTGTTTTTTGTTTTTAAATCATGAATGGATGTTGGACCTTGTCAAATGCTTTATCTATTGAGAATACTGGTTTTTGTTCTTGGCTCTGTTCATAATAGTGTATTACATTTATTGAACCATCCTTGCATCTCTGGGATGAATCCAACTTAATCATGGTGAATAACCTTTTTGATGATTTGCTGCATTCTGTTGGCCAGTATCTTACTGAGAATTTTTGCATCTGTGTTCATTAGGGAGATTGGCCTGTAATTCTCTCTTGTGGATAGAGTTTTTATTTATACTGATCTCTTAACTTTCAAATGCTTCTTTTTTGGGGGAAGCATATGTATTTATATAATATTTGAATTTTTATTATGGTTGAGAATTGTGCTTTGGGGTTAATCTGATCACTTACTCTGGGAGGCTCAGGAAAGCTTTTTATGTAGGTGGTAAACTTGGAGCTCAAGAGAAAGGAAACAGTATTTGGAGGTAAAGGTTAAGAAAGAGAGTCACATTTGGGATTGAAGATAGAGGCGGGATGGCAAGCTAAATACAGAAGCATGCAGGATGCAATCCTGAGAGCAATACTACTAAGA